GAACAGAAAAGAACATTTAATCCAGTTAGTGAAATTGGTAAACTTCTGATTTGATTTGGAGACAATTTAGCAAAATAGAAATAATGGATATTACAAGTATTCTGCACTGTCACTGCCATAATGAAAGACTTTGAACTGCCAAGGCAATGTTTTCTCATTGTTTATAGGCATACAAGAGTGACACGTTCACCACAGTTAACAAGACAAAAACTCCATATAGGAAATGAAAGTTTGAGTCATGTCATCACAAAAATGTAAAAAGATCACTGATAACATTTTCTTTGCTTCGCTTCTAATGTTTCACAAATTCTGAAGTTATACACAACTTCAGAGACATTTTTTTCTAGAAAATGATAAGACTCATTCCAAATTACACAACTACAGGCACTCACAACGAGAGGTCCTGTTGCATCTTCATTTCGGCAACATATGGTGATTGCATTTGAGCATGATGTTTAAAACAAACAAACCAACAAAAAGCTCTATATCCATATTCTGAATAGCTCCGATGCATGCCCACCTGTTTTAACATTTTGTGCTTTGGCCCATGTGGTCCTCACTCTGTTGCCGTTACAAAAATAAATGATGATCATAAATATGCATTTCACACACGCACACACAATTCCTATTTCGTCACAGTGACAGACCGTGGAGAATTGAAGAAATGCTAATGTGTCCGGCAGCTCGTTTGCTTGTTACCAGCCTGCATCAAGATCCTATTTTAGCTCGTATGAGACATGACCTGCTCAAAAATGCAAAGAAATACAACAAGCATGAAAACATTCTCATGGCTCATAACAGAGAGAGAGAGAGAGAGAGAGAGAGAGAGAGAGAGAGAAAGAGAGAGAGAGAGAAAGAGAGAGAGAGAGAGCGTGAAAGAGCGAAAGAGATTCTTCCTCTTCAAGGCCAGAACGTTTGTAAACGGAACAGGTAGAGCTGTTCCTCTGCACTGTATTTCTCTGATCCCAAATACACACTCAGCAGTTCAAGCCACATATGATTTCCATGTTAATTATGTAAATAAAGAGGTGACGACTTGGTGAAGGATTTTTCACCTATTTATAAATGTTGTCAACTAAAACCTGCATGTGTGATTGAACTGCAATGAACTCTGTGGTTCCAGGGGAGTGAAAGGAAGCCAAATAACCATGCCTGCGGCAGCTCACAATGACTTAACTTGCGGCAAGCACAGTGTGTACACAACATAAAGAAAAATGCCTGACAAGGCTTAGAACACAGCCGAACACAAGCTGCTATTTAAGAAGCTCAGTAGCCTCAATAAATAGTCAAAATAATTTGTGTCATTAAAAAGAGGCACGTGTATTGGTCAAAGATATATTTATTTCCAGATTTCTTCATACAAACATCTTTACTTTCAAAAAAAAATAAACAGATGAATCAATCAAAGTGCCCGGTAACGGCTGCAAACAGTGTCGAAATAGGAGCCCAAAAATAGTTGTGTCATGATTGGATAGAAGCAGGTCAGACTATAAGAAAAACATTTGGGTGTTGTCGCACCTCTGTGGGCTCAAACCACAAAGTTGCACAGGGATGAACTCTTTCCGCTCAATAACGTGAAAAAATAAAGCCGATATTTCGTGTTCATTTGTTCTACACAGTTCCATAATGTTGGATTAAACTAACAGCAATCACAAAACACTTGCTCCACAGAAACTGGAGCACACAACTTAGTTACTATGCCTCCAAAACAATTGAAAGAAGAGTGAAAAACTGGTGAAAATCATGTGCTTATTTAGTCAAGAAAACTGACTCTCTGTCTCATGTGTGGTCTTGCAAAATGTTCTTTATGATATATCAACCCTGTATCTCGTAGGCATTTGCTTTTATTTTTCCTTTGTCTTTTTTGTCACTTATTCTGTATCCAAAAACTTAGTAAAAAAAGTTACAAAAAATAAAGACACTATATGGCAGAAGTTGACAAAATACTACAGTCTTTTTAAAAATTATTATTATAATACATAATTGGCTTCAAAGAGAGAAAACACAACTGAATGTAAACAAGTGTCACTCCACCTGTCTGTACGGTTGCGTTTAAACCAATAGAATTCAGTCCCTCTTAGCCCTAAGGCAATTAAACAGCTTTGTTGCCTATCGGGTCCTCTTGAAATGCCTGCGCTGCGTTCAGGTGATTGGCCAGTTCTTGAATCACAGCATCCCTTCCGATTTGGTCATTTCTCCTCCGCTCCATGATTACGTCCTCCAGGCTCTGGAATTCCAGGACGTGGCTCTTGCTGTCCGGAAAGTGCATTTTTAAGCGGTACGGCTGTTTTCCGATTCTGATCTCCCCCCCGATTTTAAACTCTCGCCGTCCGAAGCGACACCAAGCCGCAAAACACTCAGAGTTCCTCCAGTAGAGTTCTCGGTCTCTGGAGCCCACGTGGTCCACGGCGTTGCGCACGATCACTTGCGGCTGGAGCGCACGGTATCGGTAGAGGTTGTTCACAATGCGGCCTCTTTTACCCTGACTCACGTCGGTGAGGAAGCCGTTCTTGATTTCGGCCCGATGCAAGTGAACCACCTGGAAGTCGCCCACGTACACGGCCCAGTGCGGGTATTGTCCCGTGGCCACGAACTCCAGCACGTCTCCGGGTCTGCACTTGTTGAGCAGACTCTCCGCCGAATGAGTGGCGGTTCCGGTGTTCCTCTCGAACAAGCATTCCTCTCGGAAGTAAACCGAACACTCAAGCTCGTCCTCGGGTTCGAAAGGCTTTTCTTCGTGCTTCGCGAGGTGGTTCTCTGGCGGGTACGGCTCCGAACTGTCGTCCTCGTCGTCGTCATCATCGCCGCAGTCGTTGGAGAAAATGTAAGAGACACCGATGCGCGGTCCGTCGTCAACCTCTGGTTCGAAGCCGTTCGGGTCCGACGTGGGCACCTCCACGTAATTTAAATGAGTGAGTTTCTCCACCTGGTTCCCCATAAAGGTGAAAGGAGGTGGACGCAGAGTGGAGCGTACAAACGGATCCACCTGTTCTTCACGCGACCACGTCAACCCGGTCCAGAGTTGCGCCAATAATCCATGTCCCGGTTTGGAAATTCTGCACCGGAGCGGCAGCTGCCTGCGTGGACATAAACACTCACACAGTTAAGACCGGCTAGTCTCTCCCGATCACCCCCGACGCACGCGCACTAGCGCGCACGCACACACACACAGACACACACAATATGCTGTCTATATAAACACGGCTTCCAACAGGTGAGACCTGACCCACCTGTTGGCTCAGTCTTAAACACTTATTTGCCCCACGAGACACCTGTCACGTCACTTTTCCTCAAATTGTCACAGTTTATTTTAATCCGGTTGCATTTTCGAATTTGGACTCACCTGTACAGCAGAAAGTTGCAACTCCTCTTAATGGCCTCAGTTTGTAGTGAAGTACTTTCCAGTCCTTTCCCGTGCGTCGCGGGACTCTTAATGTTCGTTTAAGACGAAACTGAGGCAGCTTTCATTCAGCGACTACTGGGAGGTGTCATGATTTAAAGACACAGTGCACTTTTTTGGCCTCATTGTCATGGCACTTGGTTTGGCAACAGAAACAGATCAAGTATCACACGATGTGCTTTTGTAAGAGTAGATTTCACATGGAGAAAGTGAAATTGGGAGTACATTGAGAAAGGACGTACATTATTTCAGTCCTGGGTACAAACGAGGTCCAGGTGTGACAGGAGAGTTCTCTTTTGTTGCAGTTTGCCACATGACTTATGTTCAGAATTATCAAACAAATATTGGACGAAGATAATCCAAGCAAAATAGATTAAGTTTGTAAATGGTGATTTTATTTATGAAGGGGAAAAAAATCTCTTCGGTTACCTGGCCATGTGTGGAAAAAGTACCTGCCCACCTTAACCTAGTAACTGGTTGGACCACCCCTGGCAACAACATCTGAAATCAATCATTTTCCCTCACTGGCAATGAGTCATTCACATCTCTGTGGAGAGATTTTGGGTTGCAGCCTTGCTGCAGAACCCAAGTGCGCTTCTGCTGGAGGTCACAAAATGATGGCCCGACATTGTTCCTCAGGATTTTCTGGTTTCATGGTTCCGTCAATCACATCACATCATTTAGGTCCCAAATTAACACATTTTCGCCCAGTCTCTTCCTTTTAGCTGAAGCATGAAAGATGACCTTAACTGAGGACAAGGGAGTCCTGTTTTGTTTTTTTAAGATGGTGTCCTGGGTTACTTTGTGAACTCCTGGAGAAGGCTAATTTTTGTAGGCCAGCTGTCCACCACTGTTCCATGTTTTCTCCATTCGTGGATAATGGCTCTCGCCGTGGTTCACCGGAGTCAGATGTCAATTACTTTCATTATTAAATTTCTTGGGATTGTTGCAGCTTTTTGAGATCATTTGGTCAACTTCATTTTGCATCACAGGGTTGATATAACTGATTTCTTGATTGAACAGGTCTAAAGGTAATTTGGCTTGCGTGTGTTCAGTCAAAATGAACTCAGCTTTCCAAAAATGTGATTTGCCAAAGTTAACTCATGATTGAACAAACATGATTGCTCCGATTTCCTCCCTCATCCCAAAAACATGCATGGTAGGTTAACGGAACACTCAATATTGTGCATGCATTCAATTGTGATTGCAAATGGTTGTTTGTCTGTGTGTACCCTGCGTTTGGCTGGCAACCAATTCAAGTTGGACCCCACCTACTGCCCCAAGACGGCTGGGATCGGCTCCGGTACGTGCGCGACCCTCGTGAGGATGAGCGGTTCGGATGATGGATGGATATGAAGTGACCGGTGAGCATGAACATCCTCTTTGTCACAAAGGAACGAACTACTGGACCATGCAAGTCCATTTTAGCAGGGAAGCATAACATAACTGAACAATTATGAATCGTATTAGATGTACAGTAGCTTTTTAAAAAATATATATAAATGGCGAATTTGAATTGAATTTCTACATTTTATGAAATGCACTTTTATGAAGCAGAACTGCAACACAATATCTGTTTTTTTTTTTTACATGGTGCATTTAACTATTAGGAAAATAGTCAACCTTGAGTATGTACTCGGCAATTTATCTTCAATAGTCGGAACACCGTGTGCTCTTCTCTGATGGTATCAGATGTTACAATCAGATTCTTTAAATTTTCAAAAAAAGCTAACTTGCTGTTCAAAGGAAGCCAAACAGAGCCAACTTTGTTCTGTCTTGTCTAAAACCTTGCATTTGATCTTTACACCGGGGCACAGTCATACCGGAACACAACATGGCCTCCCACAAAGCATTCCCACAAACTTGCAAGCAGAGTACAAAATTTATGCCTAAGATAAAGAATTATTTGATTATCCACACTGTATTTACAGCTCTGCAACAAAGTGCAAATGTCTGTGCCGGTGCACCTACAAATCCACAAACAAAATGGTTGTTTCAGAACTTCCTGTGACATAAATTGTGCAGACAAGTTCCAATTCGGGCAATGTTCATTCACAGCAGAAGTGAGTCAACACCAACTTTGACCATAATTGGTGGAATAGTCAAAGTGCTGTGTAAAGCACTCCTTGTAAGGGGAACCAACTAAAGACCCTTAGAAATGCCTAATGCACGGTTATTAAAAGCTTATCTTAACCTTGTTGTATCTCAGCACAACCTTTGTTTCTATTTGGACCCTTAATAGGCTCGGAATGACGAGACTACATTGACTGCAAACGTTTCACCTTGTTAGCATGTAAAACTACATTCTGGGCTCTTGACACTTCAAATGCATATTTAAGTGGGTAAACATACAGTCTTCAGAATTACTTTACCAGGCTTCATACACTCAAATAAGATATCAGTTAAGAAATTCCTCAACAAATTGGGTCACTGCCAGAATGAAGCATCACCACTCTTCTGTTATTAATGATGTTCTGTGTGTCCTACTAGCCTCATTTCTGTCTTTGGCGATCACAAATTCAGTTAGAAAGCGGTAAGCGGTCTTAAAAGTTACCACTGGAGGCCAGACGCAAAGTAGGGTTGACTAAACTAAATGTGTCATTCTCTATTTAGGAGTCATGGATCTGTCGTCACGCAGATGTCTCCCTCTAGTGGCTAGTTTTCCCATCACTGAGACGACCCCCGCCCCCAATTATGAATGCACAATATATTCTTATATACAAATAATATCCTTTTAGTCCAATTCAATGAGACTGAAAAGTATTGCAGAAATACAAAGCCCATCACAAGTAAGTATTGCTCAACACCATGGGTTCAATTTTAGTGAAAACAATGAAAATTCTTCAAACAATTTGGAAAACAACAATGAATAAAACATAAACTCTATCATGAACGTTCTCAATAAAGGCATTCAGTTCTATGTGCTTTTGCTCTTTCTCTTCAGAGTGCGGTCGGGAACCAGGTCTGACTCTTTCACATCTTTGTTTCCACAACCCACCACAGGGCAGCTGGAGGGCACAAACAAAGGTTCTTTAGCAGTACACAAGCGAATACAGGGTCTCTCTCACTTCAATGAGAGCGTAGAAATGACTATGAACTAGAAGCTACATGGAGTGACCATGACACTACACCACAAAATCTTCCATTTCAAAATGACAGCAATGAAATCTCAAAAGAAAAAGAGATCATCTTACCGACACTTCTTGTTCTGATTCCGTCTCGTTTCAATGAGGATTCTGATGGGTTTTTCGTCATAGTGATGGTTACACTTCTTATTCTTTACTGGGTTGACCATGTCCTCCTGGATTAGATGCAAACATACAGTATTGCGTTAAACACAGAATGACGCCATTACACTTTCACTTGACACTTCATTAGGCACACTTGCACAATATCACTTCATTCACTGGTGCTTCATTACGAACTGTTCAAAGTATTTGGCTTTCCCTTATTTAGCAACATGAGGGGGAAATATGAAATGATCAACCCCTAAAACATGATGTGACAAACATCTAACAAAGCATTAGCAGAGTGCTTGATTCTGTTTAAAGACCAGCTGTCAGAGATTTTCTCGGACAAAGTTAAAGAAATGACTCGGCACACAGGAAAATTGTCTTCAATATCGGCGGGAGGGGATCTCTGAGAGCGAACGACGGTAGTTGCTCCGATGATCACACTCTCTCGAGCTCCCTTCCCGCCAATTCCGACTTTTATTGTAACATACAAGGAAAACACTGCCCCCGACATTTGCATACCGCACCCCCGGTCCGGCCCCTCGGTGGTGATTGGTTACCTGTTTTTTAAACTTGAACCACCAGTACGTTGGCGCCTTTTCTGTCTGGTCTACATCGAATTAACATGTTGCAGACTTTGCGGACGACAAATGTCGCCTGGGCGCGACGGGTGTTCTCAACTCGTCTTTTGTTGTTCAACCGCTGTTCCCAAATTATTCATTCCCCTTTTGTGACCGAGTTTCGCCCCCTCCCCTGTGATTGCCCACCTGCATTGACGTGCTAATTGTGGACTTCAACAGCCCTCCGGCCAGGTGCACAGGCATTTGGAGGTGCTGGATACGCACCCAAACGTTTAGATGTGCCCAAATTAAATGAAACTTTAAACATGATACAATTTTGCTCATAGATTTCTCTAACACCAGCATAGAAGCCACATGTACAATATGTCACAAAGTCGTCAACTCTCGACACACTAAACAAGTACACTTTGAACACAAATCCAACTACGCAAGTGAACCCCGACTCCGGTTAATTTGTGGAAGCGTGGTGTTCAAATCATAGGTTATGTTTTTGTTTTGTTTTTCACAATATTCCATCTTCTGAGGGTAATACCAACACTGGGTAGACACCTAATACTGGCACAGGGGTCAGAAGATCATGAAAACATGAATAAGTCACCAGCCATGTTAAAAAAATAAAATAAAGGCTTATAGTTTTAAATGGATGTGTGCCAAGTTATTTTTGTGACTGCGGTAGGTATGGTATGGTGCAACTTTTTATGAGGTACTGATGATATTATTCGTAGAAAATTATATTTGTTAGTATATAGGTATTGTCTAGTCAGGGTGAGAAACAAGGAGGGTACCTGGGTGAGAGGGCAGGTGAAGTTGACTTGGGTCTGCGTTACAGCAAGGTCTTCGTCAAGCTCCTCGATGTTCCTTGATTCGTGGCTGGCTGAAAACAGGACACCCAAAACGCACGCCACTTATATAACTATATACTTTTGACACGATAACAGGAGAAAGGCAACCTGATCAGCAAAAGAAAACCACATGTCTGCTTCGGCAGAGGTGGGCAATTTATTTGGCAAAGGGGCCACATCAGAAACCAGAACGCTTTCGAGAGCCAACCCAACATGCTAACTTCAACTTTGTCTATTTTAATGCATTTAGAAAAGTGTATTGTCTTGCTTCGATTAATTGCAATGTGTGTAGATATGGTCTGCATTGTTATGGAGAAATGTGCAATACAATTTTACAAAGTCAAAATGCAACTTTAGGCTTCAAAAATTCTCTGAATTTTGTGCACCAACCGCCAATTCATATTACCGGTAGTCATTCCTAGTCAGGACTTACAAATATATAGGGAAGTGGGAAGTATATTATTATTGACAGCATGTACAATACAGTGATGACTGAAAATACACCCAACACATACAGTAAATGAAACAATAGATTTTCTCACAGTATTATCAGGCCAAATCTTGGCCCTCTTCCCTCCACCGTGCAGGAAATAAGAATCTTGCTAACATTGGGACCACTCTTGTCATTTTTGCTAGTCTCTTTTATTGGGAAAAATATTTGCTGGTGGGAACAGAAATGTAACCAAATACAGCGAAAACGGTGCCTAGTTTGCGACACGGCAAACACAAATCGTAGCTCTTGCTTGCTACCTCGCTTGCACTAGCGTCCACACTTGACATGAAATAAAAGCACAAATCTCAAAGTAAACGTACCGCATATTTTACGTTTTACTTGAACTTCACGGTCAAGGTTATGGCTGATCATAGACTGTGGGCAGGCTGAATGTGGCCCCCAGGCCATGCTATGCCAAGGTCTGTGCTAAGTTAATAATGTCTCAAACTGTATGTCAATAAATGCCAAAGCAGTTTTGCATTGCAGGTGGCCAGTCATAATTTGCATTTTGTGTCTCATTAAATCACATTGAATAGCAAATCTAGGAATTGCAGTTAAGTCACAATTAAATTTTTCCAGGAATTAAACGGCAGAGACTGTCTCCAAAAGCTTCGCTTGTAGGATGGACACGCGCACATTAACATGGTACACCACACTTAAGTGCTTGGGTGATTGATTACACTTTTAGTCTGGCTAGAACTGCATTAAACAGAGATGAAAGTGGACTTTTCTGAAAATTCCGGAAAAAATAAATAAATAAATAAATGTGTGTGTGTGTGTGTGTGTGTGTGTGTGTGTACACACACA